GCAGCTCTCTCCCTCATTGCGGGGAGCTGCAACTTTGTTCTATTGCCACAGCACCCACTGGTGGGCAAGAGGTGGAACTGCAGCAACATTTTGGCAGAAGCTTTTTCTTCACAAAGAATTAGAAATCTGCGGGGCTTATTAAATATGCGCACACGCAGTAGCGCAGAATTCCCCAGAAGTAATTGGTGCACCACAGACAGCAGTAGTGCAAGAGTCCCATGCTGCCCTGCCAATGTGCTTCAACACTGACCTGGAGGGACCACCTCTAGGGTCAAGAAGTTAATTCATTCTCCATGGCTGATTCAGTCGTTGGCTCCTCTGCTATAACTATCAACAAAGGCACTAATTAATGCCAGTTTTGATTATATAAAACCTGGCAGTTAATTTCATAAAGGCCATCATACAATGATCTTTTTCAGCTCCTACCAACCTGGGGCGGATTTGAACTGGTGACTTGGCAATAAAAGGTTCTATCTCCCATTATCAATTTCCTATGCCATAAGAATGGCCATACTGGATCAGACCAAAGGTCCATCTAGCCCAGTATCCAGTCTTCTGACAGTGGCCAATGCCAGGTGCCCCAGAGGAATGAACAGAACAGGTAATCAAGTGATCCATCCTGTCGCCCATTCCCAGCTTCTGGTGAATGGGCGACAGGATGATATTCTATGATTCTATGAACAGAGGCTAGTTGACACCATCCCCGTCCATCCTGGCTAATAACCACTGATGGACCTATCCTCCATAAACTTACCTAGTTCTTTTTTGAACCCTGTTATAGTCTTGGTCTTCACAATATCCTCTGGCAAGGCGTTCCACAGGTACTATTCATTCCTATGATAATGCTTACATATGTATTGGCAACTGTCCATCACTTCTTTCTCAGAGGTGCAGATTCAGTGATTTAACCTTGAATTTACATTAAGCATGATAACAACTGGCTAACACAAGAATGGGGACATGATTGTGTACAGAACTTGGAATTCAGGATTTAGACAGACATCCCAGCTTCAACAGGCCGCTTCACTTTCTCTCACTGATCCCTCAGCAGCCTTTTTCCTTGCCTCAGCCTGACCTTTCTGGAGGCTTTTGTGGTATGGTGCTTGGTGGACCTTGGCTAATGATGTGTTGTGATTTCCTGTGGCTTTTACACGAAAACATGCAGTACATTCAATATGACACATATCCTTGACCTTCAGGTTTTGAACATTTCCAAGCAGCACAGCATTCATGTTATCTGATGTTTCTTATTTAGGACTGAGTACCTCCTTGCACAATAGTGAATACATTTAAATTTCCGACTTTAGACACAGCTATTTGCTTGATGGGATTCCCTCCTACTCTCGCTGGTAAAGAAGGTCTTTAAAGTAAATATCTGTAATGTACTCCAATTTCCTGGATTAGAGCTGAACAAATAATTCACAGAGATTAGCTTGTGACGACACCCTTCTAAATATGGACCAAAGTGACACTGTCTTTTTCAGTGTGTCTTTCCTCATTCCCAGCAATGATAGCCTTTGCAGTAATGGAGTGGCAAGCTGTTTGCATGCCAGAAAGAGAATATTAAAAATAATACATGATTAAACCCACCTATGGAGAAATTCAGAGATATTAAATTAAAAGCTCAATGATCAACATGAGGGAAGAGCAGCTACAAACTATTGTAACAACCCACTTGCTTTTGTGTTGGCACTCTTGTTTCCCAGCAGCCAGGACAGGAAGAAGAGGTAAAGTGCTCCATTCCATTCCAGCAGATAGAAGGATGGCAGTTATCAGACACCCACGATGTAGAGCCTTATATGAAAGTTGGAGGGACTAAGGAAGGACAGTAGTAGGCTTGTAAAAATCCCTGCTGCAGTCTTATCAGCCGGGTGGGACAGGAATGTTCCTCCTGCTGGGTGCAGATGCACCCAGCTCTTTCATATGTACATCTGGCTCAGAGGTATCTGGGAAATGTTTCAGGCTCCAGGCATCATTAAGTTACAAAGCAAGGAGGTACTTGAAGAGAAAAGATGTAGAACAATGAATTAATACGATGTTACATAAAACAATAGGGCTGCATTCCTGACTCAGCTTAAGGGTGTTTTGCCCAGCTCAGTGCAGTATCAAGCCAAATATGGACTGCAAGACACTGAGGTGAAAATGTGAATATTCAGCTAGTGAAATTATTTTTGTGCCTGTATAAGCAAGCAAAATCAAGAACTAAATGAATCACCTTTGTTAATTTGGGAGGTGAACATATCTCTTTGCACTATTCGTTATATTTAAGGGTGCTGGGACTAATTGCTTATTTGCTGTGCAATTATTTTTTTTTGTGCGAGAGGGGTTTAATAGTATGTAAACAGCATTAAATATCTTTTTAATACCTCCAAGGAATACCACTTTCCTGAACTCTGTCTTTTAGAGACAGACTGATTCAGACTAGCAGCTGAATGGCAGAGATACTTAATTCACACAGGCACTTGTTTCTCAGTGCAGAACGGCATCAGTTCACTATTACTGACAGCAGATGGTAGCAGTCTTGCATGAATTAACTTTTTGCACTGAAGAGGTAAAACAAAGAGGTCTGAAAATATTTTCAGCCTCTGAATGTTACGTTAAAGAAAATGCTGGCTACCCCAATCTGCATGTTTTTAGCACTAGAACAAAGTGTCCTGCCACTGTCAGAGTGCCCTCAGTTATTATATGAATATTTAAAATGCTGTGGGGCAAATCCTGATCTCAATAAAGGCAATGGAAGAACATCCCCTGATTTCAGTAGGACCAGGATTTGTCCCTGATATAGGCTGGGGAATGGAGGAAATAGGAGTTTTTCCATTACACTGCAGGGAGACTAAGTCTATGAGCATTTTGCTGGTGAGTGTAGGCAAAGACGTAGATCTTTCAATAAAATACAGCCAAACCACTGCTGAAATCTGGCCCCAGAGCTGGTGTATCTAGCCGCATGGAGTAGGGGCCTCCCCAAGTAGTGTAAAACCAGTATTGTGGCTTCTGTACTGCCACTTTTCCCTGTTGCCGGTACAGAGTGCATTTAAGGGCCTACAGCCAGGATGCCTCCATCACGCCAATCCCCAGCTACAGTTCCAAGCCCTGCACAGAGACAAGCTTGGACTGGGAGAGTACAAAGATGAACTTTTTGCTCACTTTATATACATGCTCACATCCCCTGTTCTTCGCCCCACTGAGTTGCAGTACGAGGTTCTTGGCCCTAAAGATCTGGCTCAGTAGCATCTAAACTAAGTACAGGTATTGTGTAAAAAAACAGGGTACCTGTTCCTGTTTTGGGTGTTCCTATTTCGATATTTTACTTTTCTGGAATCACTTTCAGATTGCTCCTGTCTGTGACATACTAGATGCTTACGTCCCTTGCTGAGTGCGGAGATGAAGTAGGATTCTGTTTGTTTTGGTGCAGTGGTACCTTAACAGAGTTAAAGCAAATTAATTTCCCCAGTGTGAGAGTCAGATGTGCTAATCTGTTGATACAATTACAGATGAGGTCATTGTTAAAGTTTTGCATTAGAGTGCCAGTTTGAGTGAGTCGGGACGTGTATTGCTTGTGTGATGACTGTGAAAGCCTTATGAAATATTGGACTGTTATCAACAGTGTTGTAAGTGATATCAAGGTGGAATGGAACACACAGAACCTTCCCCTTCACTTCTTAATTCATGAGGCGGGATTTGATAGCAGCCTTCAACTACATGAACAGGAGTTCCAAAGAGGATGGAACAAAGCTGTTTCCAGTGGTGGCAGATGACAGAACAAGAAGCGATGGTCTCAAGTTGCAGTGGGGGAGGTCTAGGTTGGATATTTGGAAAAAAATATTTCACTAGCAGGGTGGTGAAGCATTGGAATGGGTTACCTAAGAAGGTGGTGGAATCTCCATCCTTAGAAGTTTTTAAGACCCAGCTTGACAAAGCCCTGGCTGGGATGATTTAGTTGGGGTTGGTCCTGCTTTGAGCAGGGGGTTGGACTAGACGACCTCCTGAGGTCTCTTCCAACCCTAATTTTGTATGATTCCATGCTTTTAATACTTGTGGTGGATGAGGTATGTCCTGCCACATAGTTAACTGTCACTAAACATGTTTTTGGTTTGTTAATAGGCTGTGTTTTTTGTGAAGAAAACTGCAGTTCTCTGTTTGTATGGACTGAAAAATAACCTCTGTTCATATGGACTAGAGCTCAGGGCTGTTACCAGTTGGAGGAAGTTAGCCCTGAGACCCCCCACTCCCAGTCTGATCCCCAGATAAAACCATCTTTGCCCTTCAACTTGGCAAGACCCAAGGATCAGGATCAGAGGGCTTGTCTACACATACAGCAGCGCAGCTGCGCTGTTGTAGCACTTTAGTAAAGATGCTACTATGCCAACAGGAAAGAGCCTCCTGTCGGGATAATCAATCCACCCTCATGAGAGGCGGTAGCTATGTTGACAGAGAAGTGCTCCCGTCGACATAGCACTGTCTACACCGGGCATTAGGTTTGTATTACTAGGTTGCTCAGGGGTGTGGATTTTTCAGACCCCTGAGCGATGTAGTTATGTCAACATACGTTTGTAGTATAGAGCTGGCCTAAGATTGTCAAGGAGCTATTCAGTGGAGGCTCCTCTGCCGGGGTAGGCATTACATTGTGTCAGAACACACTTTTAAATGGCAACTTTGCCCACTTGCTTTCAGCTGTTAACTTTTTCGCTGCTGTTACAAGTAACCTGAGCTGCTTTTGAAAATCTTTGCATTATAATTAAAATGATAGCATAACCTACACGGTACACTTATTTCTATTTCAGAATTAGAAACTGTACACTTGAATATTGATTGCTTAAATGCCTTTAGTGTTATTAAAAACAGGAGTCAAATTACATTTTGTGTAACTTCACTGAAGTGAGCTGTTGAATTACGCTATGAAGGAATTGGCCCTTTTTTTTTTTTTTTTTTGGTTCAAATAGCATGTTGTATCTTTTCCTAAAGCCATTTTGATAATAAAGCCAACTGATGGATTCTTTCAGGAGCACCCATTACTTGGTCAACCATTCTTTGTCCTTCATCCCTGCCGGACTAATGAATTCATGGCTCCTGTATTGGCTAATTCACGAAGAGAGAACAGGTGAGGAATACCAGTGCAGTTTGTGAGGCGATAATAAGATGTTTAATATATGTAAATCAATTGTCTACACTTGCAAGGTCAGAACAGTCAAGAAATTGTCATCCCCAATCTGTGTGTAGTAAAACTCTGTGTTTTCACTTAAATCCCGTAAGTTAAAATAGACTCAAAGTGTGTAAAGTGCATTAGTAACTTCATATTAAAGAAAGTTGTCTGGTATAAGGTGACTTTCAGGCACAAATCTGAACATCAGTAAAGATTTTTGTAATACATGCATGTTTTCTTTGTTTTTTAGGAATATAAACTACATTACATCATGGCTGAGTATTGTAGGCCCAGTTGTGGGGCTAAATCTACCTCTGAGTTATGCAAAACTAGTGTCTGAACAGAATACAAAAGCAGATTAAATCTAAAGGTAAGAGGGGAATGGCATTTTTTTAGTCTCATAAAATCAGATTCTAGTTTGTAAGCATTTCAGCTTTTACTTCTGACCTTTCAACTCAGGAGTGCCTAGGATTTTCCATCTGACAATTTACACACAGTCACTCCCTGTGTCATTGCCATTTTGCTTTGCACAGGAGAGCTGAGCTGAGGTCCCTCTGGCACTCTGCCAACACCCTTCTTAATAGCCAGGAAGGATCTCCATTGAAAGTCACAGTGTTGATGCTCTGTGTACTGGGACTGCTGTTTCAGCAATATCAGAGCTTCTTGGCTTAACTCCTCCAGTGCGCATTTAATGGTGTGATCTAATGTACTTGCCCTGCAGTGATTTTTATTTTGCCTCCTCCACTGCTTCTAATTCTTGTTCAATGTCTCCACTTCAGGGCCCCAAGTTGAAGCACAGGTATTTGAGAATTGCAAAGCGATTGCAGCCTTGTCTGCGACAGACCTGACACAAACTACCCAGTTCCCTGACAGTCAGCAGAGCTCAGTAAGGCTTGCCATTCGGGGCTCTTCCCCCCTGGCAGCAACATGCTTGATGACCGCGGAACACCTAAGAGCTGGCTGCAGTTAGTGACACCTCACATTCCACCCGGACACAAGCTCCATTCCATGTGACAACGCTGACTCTTTAGGATTCACTTGCTCATTTCCTACCTCAGATTCTCCCTCCTTTTTTCTCTGGGTTTGGTCTTTACTGAGATTGTATCAGAACACCTATAAAAGGCTGAGTTTTCTGGCATGGGATTGAAACAGTGGATTTAATTCTACTCTGAAAGGTATCAGACAGCACCACTGTGTATCTAGAGAAGTATGCTATCAGTCTGCAGACGTTCCACAGTGATGCAGTTATATATGTGAACGTGGGCTTGATTCCATTTTAGGGTTAGTATGTTACCTGGAGAGGATAGGGACACTTAATTGCCAAAACTCTGATCATCAGATACCTCAGGGTGTATTGGAGAATGTATTGTATACGTATTGCTTAATTGAATGAATGGGTCAGAACTGTAGATGAATAGTACTAATAGTCTATGTATTGGTTAAAATTATACAATTCTACAATTCAGGGTGCCTCAGTACAATCATGTGAGCATGCCACTTCTTCCTTCTTCACTACTTCTAAAGGGTTTTGTCTCCAAGGGAAGGTACTGTTGTAGTAAATTAGCATTTCTGGTTGAGCTAGTCATTATTCAGGAGTAAAGGCCTGATCCTGCAATCCTTACTTAAGCTAAACTCCCACTCATATCAGTAGAGTTTTGAGAAAGTAGAGATTGCATAATAGGGCGCCAAGATCAGCAAAAAAACAGGTTAGAAATAACTTTAGTGTGACAGTCAGTTTTGATTCCTTCTGAATCATGTTTTGTTCCAAGTGTTCTGCATTTATTTTGTACAGTTTCTCAGTAGATAAGAATTACAGATTTTGCCTTTACATGTTCAATGAAGATGACACTTACATGGGGAGTCAAATATTAGAATATGTTGGATCAAAACTGCAAATGTAAAATTTATGGGATTTAAAAATCTGTGGTCTCAGAAGTTTTATCATCATGTTTTTAATTTAGTTCCATCATGTGTGTGATGTAAAACATAATACAATCCTTAAAATGCTATTGACAAAGTAAAATTGTTTTGCCAGGCCATTTGGAATTTATAGTAAATGATACTAAAACACATTATTTATCCTATACTGGATTCTAATAATCTGTGATACCTTTGTTCCCTCCATGACTTGTAAAATGTAGTTCTTTGTTGACTTCTCATGACAGCAGTCAGATTGCCTTCTTTTCAAAACATTTGGTTATGTATGTTTTATTGTAAACAATATCTGTATCCTATTTCACACGTTGAAAGAAGAATTATTTCTCTTTATACACGAGGAGAAACAAATTACAGGAAAATAATATGATTTTAAATCTGTGTTTAGAAGCCCAGATGCTCAGCCCTGCTTCATGCCCTTTGTGCTGCTTCAGTGAAGCAAAGGGGCTCAAACAACCAGCTGAAGATTCCCAGCTGGTCAGTCTAGCCAACTTTGCACCAACTGCTTCTTCCTCCATCCCAGCATAGGATGAGGCATGGCCAGAGCAAATTTTGCTTTGGCAATCCTGGGACACTGGAATGGCTGCTAGTCCCAATGCAAATTATAGAAGACTGCTCTCCTTGCCCTGAGGGTTGAATTATCTTCCACTGTCCTCGGAATCAGGCAGGGGAGGAACACAAAAAATACACAGTTCCATATACTTGCATGCACAAGTATGCACACATATGCACTAGGTGCACTGACTGCTGCATGGCCCTATTGGAGGATCTAGCTCATGGTTATCTTTCTGTAGCATCACAGATGTTACCCAGCATTGACCTATGGGTCAAATGTACAGAATAAACAAGTCCTTGCCCCCAAGAAATCCAATTTTTAAGATACAGGGCCAGTAAAATATGACACAGAATGCAGAGTAGGATTTAATGTATATAGCTGGAGTGCTTGTTTTAAAATATTCTTCCTAGGCTTAGTGTGGAGGATTCCTTGATAAAGAACCAACAGATACTCTTTTTCACTTTCAAGTCTTATTTATTGGACTAGTTTTTGGCCACCTGTCAGAAAATAGAAGTAACAAAATGGTTTGGAGTAAAATGTATTTGCATAGTTTCCTAGATATTTCTAGGAGACTAACACTTTCTGTTTTCCAGGCATAGCAGACTTGTTGATAATACCCCTTCCAGTCATGACTATTCTATACTATTGACCTGAGATAATCATTGTTCATAAGATTACAAGTTCCACAAAACACTGTCCTGGAGCGTTACTGTGAGTACGGTCTTTCTGTCCATGTGACAGCATTAGATAAATTAACCCATGGAATATAATTATAGACAAAGGAAGTTCAACTTGTATAATTTATTAATGCAGTTACTCATATGAGGCCACACCTCACCAGTCTCAAGTTATGCTAGCTAAGTATGAAGTTAGTCCAACAGAATGGACCCCCACCACCCTTCTGTTCAGTCAACGTTCCTTTACAGACCTGATTTTTTCTGTTTCATCCAAGCGTTACAAAGAAATGGGGTTGTCATGTGGACTGAGAAATCGACATTCAGTTTCTTTTATACGCAACAGTCCCCATTGTACAACATGGTTTTTCCTCTTTCATTTATCATTGTAAAGAAGACCCAGGATGATTTGGAAAAAGCATGGCACATTGTCTTTGATTTCAGATCTGTCCTTGAAGGGGTAAGCCCAGGCACATGTCACATGGGTAGCTGCACTGGTGACTTTTTTTTTCAGTACATTCTTCCCACTATACCTCCAGGAGCACCCTTTGCCAATAACACCCTATGCCTGCTTTGAAAGGCAAACTGTTTCCAGTTTCTGAAGCCCATTCATCTCCAGCTGATAAACCCCTTCTAAATCCCAGCGGAGTAATAATGAGCACCTTGGTGCTGCCCTCACAGTTGTTTAGATACTATGATAATAGATACAAAATGTTAAGATAAATAGGTGGGTTACAGCAACTGGGAGAGTTGGACACATAGATGAGTGATCTGGCAAAACGCATCATACATCTCTTAACTTTGTTTATTTAGCACTAATAAACAACTAAAAATTCAGATCATTAAGATGGTTAGTTCAAAAATCCTCTGTATTTTGGCTAAGATGTCATCAGTAATAAAAAACATTTCGTATAAGTAATCTAGTGACCTTCTAAAACATTTAACACGTTTGCTCACAAAAATCGTATCTAATTTCAAAATTAGATCAATCACCAGTGCTATATTTTATTTTATTTGGCAAGTCCAAAACACCTAAGTTTTTGGCAGCATAGGTTATTCTTTAAGTTTTGCAAAACTGCTACAGAAGCGTTTTCAATTATAAAGCAGTTTTAAATCTCCTTAAGTTTCTTGTCTGAAATCTGGAAAGAAATATTGAGAAGCCTACTACTGGAGACTCTTTTTTAAAGGAAGCCACCAATACTTGCCTTTGATTACAAGAATCAGAGAATGTAACCAGCCACATGTGCTCAATTGCAGTTTGCCTTTGGTTTCCTGTAGGAGGCAGGAACACTGTTCTATATATGTATGCTTCTTTTTTGCATTCAGGCATAATCTGCTCCAGTAGAAAGTTTGGTTTTGCTTTGGTTATGGAAGAAATATTCTTTGAGTCAAATTATGTTCTCATTTTCATCAGTAGTGACTGCACTGATTTCAGTTTACACTGGACAACATTAGAGCAAGTCAAGTAACCTAAATTAATCCCTGTTCTGACTCCGTTGATTTCATTGACATTTTTCCAGGAACGAATTTGGGGCAATAGTTCTTTCCCAGTTAGCACAGCTGTGATTCAAAGAGTTATTGTAGACTTTTACATTTCAATGTATATTACACAGAATTTCAGTCCCAACAAAAAATATTGAGTAACTTCTATTCCATTATAGCACAACCTGAAATGTGAAGTTCCTACTGGCTCCTATCATAGGATATCAGGGTTGTAAGGGACCTCAGGAGGTCATCTAGTCCAACCCCTTGCTCCAAGCAGGGCCAATCCCAATTTTTGCCCCAAATCCCTAAATGGCCCCCTCAAGGATTGAACTCACAACCCTGGGTTTAGCAGGCCAATGCTCAAACCACTGAGCTATCCCTGCCCCCATTCTGTCATCTAAAAAGTCTAGCTTTTATGGTAATGTGTTATGTATCTTGTAAAAGACACAGTTTTTAAAAATGTTTTTGTGATTCACCCCCTTAGCAATAAGAAAGGGAAGTCATAACAAGTGCTTACCAGCTGGAAGAGAAAGATACAGCTAGAAGTTCCTACTGCCCACTTTAGGGCTGCAGCTGCTTGACTGCTAAATTTAAAAGACCAGCTTGAGAACAGCATTCTGGGAAAGTACTGCTGGGGAGTGTTAGTGGGAATAGGAAAGTGCTGTGCTTACCACTGTTAGGCCCTATTTTTCATTAGGCTGTTACCAAGTTTTGTTTTTTTAAACTCCAAGGAAACTTTCACTTAAGCATTCAAGGGACTGATAAAACTGTGACTTACTAGGGAGAATTTTTAACTGAAGGTTAGAGAGCCATTCACTTGTTTGATAAGAGGATGATGTTTATAGAAGATCTTATTGAACACGTTTCCCTATTCTCAAGCGTGTCAGAACACAACCTCCCTTTCTGCAGCACCAGTGGATTTTTAACTTGTGGTAACTTTGCTAGAGCAACATCCTGCGCTTAATTCACCCTGGAGGGTCATGTCTGGAGGAGAGCAGGCAGTTCGCTCCTCTGTGGTTGCTCTCCCTAAACCACACCAGCAGGCACTAGATAGGTACTAGATTTCAGTGCCTCATTTGCCCATGTCCCCTTTTCCTAGTCATTGCTGGCCAGCTTCAGGCTCATTGGCAGAGCAGAGTCTGTGCCAGTGGTGTAGCTAGGAGTGGAAATTTGGGTAGGTCCCAATTTATGGTGGATGGGCAATGACCAAAGTTCTGAGATCACAGCAAATCATTTATTTTGCATATTACTATACTAGATATATATTATTATTGCATATTATATTTATTTTAATTCTGGGGGGCCAAGATTGTAGGATGCAGAGAAGGAATTTGAGTGCATGGAGCCCAGGGACTGAGCTTGCCAGTGGAGACAGGCAATCCCCACAGCCTTTGGGTTGTCAGGGTTGGGGGTGCTGGTTAGCGCCTGTGCAGAGCCAGGCTCACTGACGGGCTGCAGGGCTCCTTGGTGTGCATGGGGTGGTACCGTCGGCGGCGAAGCAGGCAGGCAGGCATGTGGATGCCCTGGCTGTGCTGGAAGAGTGCCCATTAACAGTTCTGCCCTTGGGCCCAGAATTGCTGTCGGCAGGCCTGGACTCGGCTGACACCAAAGTTGTTTGGAATCCGGAGAAGTTTGCAGCCCTGGGTGGAGGCAGGGATGGGGCCAGCTATGGTGTTCTGCAGATGGACCAAGAGCCAACTTCTCTTAGACAAGTCTCCCTGAACCTCAACCACATGGACATTGGCTTCTGCATTCACACTGGCTCAGATTTGGGTGGGCTTGGGTGCTAATTGGGTAGGCCGTGTGGTCCACCCATGCCCACCCCTTGTGAGACAATTTTCACCACCAGTGATCTGCATCACTGGGTTACACCGCTGGAAGCTGGCTGAATCAACCTCCCATCTCCTCAACTTCAACATGACACCTTTAGTGTACAGCACCTTGAAATGCAGAGGGAAAAGCTCATGTTGCTGGCTATGCTCCATATTTGATGCTTTCTCCACCTCCAGAGCCAACAAGAGCCCACACTGGCTGAGCATGTGTGGGAAAAGATTTGGCAAACTGTAGAAATGAGCTAATCCTTTTTCTCTTTGCACCTGATCCAAAATAAAATCCTGAACTGTTACTAGTAGATCATAGCCAAGCTTTACTTGGCCCGGATAAGACTGAGCCAGATGCTGGAGATACTGTTCTCCAAGCATCATAAGGTTTATTCTCTCACATCCTAAAGTTAGCTGTCACTTGCCTACTGTGGTCAACCATCTGCTTTAATATTTATATATGCCCTGCTTTATGAAGCAGGAACATTGACTAGTGTTGATGAAAGAATCACACAGCAAAGCGGAACTAGTTCTTTCTTCTCCAGGCTCCTCTCTGCTGTATTTCTATTGATTTCTGTTTTGGGGGATTTGGCTTTTATAGCGGGTGGTTGTAAGATTTATAAAGTATAAAGCCATTTGTATAGGAAGGTCAAATATCTGAGTTACTCTTTAATTTATTTGGGCTTTGACTTCCTTTCCGGAGCATCTTTTATTCCAAATAACACAAGTCAGAGCTCCTCCAAGCTGGTAGAATACACAAATGTGTTCTCTGGACAAATCCTGACGCCATTTGCTAACTCACCCGTTTGACGTGTCGGTTTAGTCTGTATAACCTAATAGCATGGGTTCATTAAACAAATTAAAATTCAACTTGAAACAAAGTACTAGCCTTGATGCTTCCTTGTGCCATTCTCCCATTTCCACGGCCGCCTTCCGCACCACCCGTGCCAAACCCTCACTGAAATCCTTCCTCCCAATTCACTCCTGCTGAATTGCCTGCAAGGAGTTAAAAAGATATCTGACGTAAGGAAAAAAAACAAAAAAAGCTAGATGTGCATATGCCTGAGTCTCCACCTGATTTTATTGTTGGCACCCGTGTTCTTCCTCTCTGTGCCCCCCCCGCCTCCTTTTTTTTTTTCTTTGTTTGTGTATGGCCTTTTACATGTTGAATTGAGATGGTGAGTTCTTCAGGACAGGGAGAATGTCTGTTTCTCTGTAGCACCAGATGCTTTCAGGTCCCCAAAGGCTGTAAGGGGAATGGAATACTTAGCCCTTCAAAACTTTGATCCTATTAAAAGTTAGATTCAACACTCTGAACAGCTTTCTAGTTTTCAGCCTCCCCTCCCTTTTTTAAAAACTTTCTCCCTCATCGTACCAATAGCAGCCCCTAGTGGCAGAAGTAGCTCATGACAACTCTGCATTAGGAAACTGCATTTAACCAGCCTGAACACTTAGCAGCTTGAACACTTCTACCACTTCACTTTAATACTTCCCTTTGACATCTTTCTTGCTTGATGATGTTGAAATAGTTTTCCTCAATATTTCTGGAAGCTGCTCTAATTCCTAGTGGCTCTTTCTGAACCAGAGTAGTGAGTTTAAAAAACCCAACTGATATTCCATGAATGAATAGTAGGGACTGAGCTTCAGGTTCCTGATGAGCTAACTACAGCCTCACACTAGCCCGAATCCCACCACCAGCAATTGTTTACAATAGTGTTTGTAAGTGAAGGCCAACATTTTCAGACATGCTCCCTAACTGTGCAATCAACAATGATATAGGCCCATTACCAAAGACAGATGGTAAAATTAATAATGGTGCAAAAAAGGAATAAGTGTTAAACAAATACTTCTGTTCTGTATTTGGAAAGATACAGGATGATGCACTAATATCACATGACAACAAAGTCCTTTCCAATCTCTCAGCAACTAAAGAGAATGTGATAAACAAATCGGCATGCCTGGATAACTTGTATCCAAAAGTCCTAAAAGAGTTGGCTGAGATAATCTCTGGCCTGATTGTTATTTTTTAATAAATATTGGCAATCTAGAAGACTTGAAGAATGTTAATGTCAAGCCAATAGTCTAAAACAGCCAGTAAGATGACGCAGGTAATTATAGGCTGGTTAGCCTGACAACAGTTCTGGACAAATAATGGGAAAAGCTGATATAGATTCAACCAATAAAGAATTAAAAAGCTAGAAATATGAATGGTGCCAGTCAATATGGGCTCTACAGAAAATAGGTTTTGTCTCATAGTTTCTTAAAGACAGAAAGGATCATCATGATCATAGGTTGACCTCCTGCACATCACAGGCTACAGAATCTCACCCATCCACTCCTGTAATAGACCCTAACCTCTGGCTGAGTTACTGAAGTCCTCAAATCTTGATCTAGAGACTTCAAGTTACAGAGAGTCCACCGTTTACTCTAATGCAAAGCACCAAGTGGCCTGTGTTCCATGCTGGAGAGGAAGGTGAAAAATCCCAGGGATTCTGCCACTATGACCAAGGGCAAATTCTTTTCCAACCCCAAATATGGCGATCAGTTAGACCTTGAGCACGTGGGCAACTCACAAGCCAGACACCTGGGAAAGGGTTTTATTAACTCACCATCCCCTCCATAAAGTTATCAAGCTCAGTCTTAAGTTTTTTTGCCTCCACTACTCCCCTTAGAAGGCTGTTCCAGAACTTCACACCTCCGATCGTTAGAAACCTTTGTCTAATTTCAAGTCTAAACTTGTTGATGGCCATTTAACATCCATTTGTTCTTGTGTGAACATTGCCACTTAAATAACTCCTCTCCTTTCCTGGTGTTTATCCCTCTGATGTATTTAGAGAACAACCATATCTCCCCTCAGCCTTTGTTGTTAAGCTGAACAAGCCTCACTCTTTATGTCTCCTCTCATAAGAGAGGTTCCTCTGATCATCCTAATAGCCCTTCTCTGCACCTGTTCCAGTTTGAATTCATCATTCTTAAACAGAATTGCACATAGTATTCCAGATGAGGGCTCACCAGTGCCTTGTACAATGGTACTGACACTTCCCAGTCTATTTGAACGACCTCACTTGATGCACCCTAGGATTGTATTAGCCTCTTGCACAGCCACATCACATTGGTGGCTCGTCATCATCCTGTGATCAACAACTACATCCAGGCCTTTCTCCTCCTCTGGCATTTCCCATTGATAAGTCCCCAGCTTATAGCAAAGATTATTATTAGTCCGTTAAGTGCATGACCTGCACCGTTGACTATTAAATTTCCTCCTATTTCTATTACTCCAATTTTCAGGGTCATCCATATTTTCTTGTATGATATTCTAGTCTGCCTCTGTATATGTGTCATCCACAAATTTTATTAACACATGCCCATTTTTTGTGGCAAGGTCACTAATGAAAATGTTACATAAGATTGGGCCCAAGACTGATCCTTGAGGAACTCCACTAGTAACCTCCCTCCAGCCTGATAGTTCACCTTTCAGTATGACCCCTTGTAGTCTCCCCTTTAATCAGATCCTTACCCACCTTTTACTCTTGTATTAATCGCCATCTTCTCCTGCTAACTTATAACTTCCCATGTGGAACAGTATCAAATGCTTTATTGAAATCCATGTTGATTAGATCTACTGCATTTCCTCTGTCTAAAAAAAATCAAGTTATCTTCTCAAAGAAAGAGATCAGGTTGGTCTGGCATGATCTACCTTTAGTAAAAGCATGCTGTACTTTATCCCAATTACTGTTTACCTCTGTGTTTTTAGTTATTCTCCCTCAAAATTTGTTCTAGGGCCTTGCATACAATTGAGGTCAAGCTAAGGGGTCTGTAGTTTTCCAGATCACTTCTCCCCTCCCCATTTTAAATAAGTACTATATTTGCAATTGTCCAGTCATATGGTATGCCCCTTGAGTTTATGGATTCATTAAAAATCCTTGCTAATGGATTGCAATGTCATGTGCCTGTTCCTTTAATACCCTCCATTCAAGAATATCTCCCCTCCCTCCTTCCCCTGTTTTGGTCCCATTAAGGTGTTTAAGTTTAGCTTCCACCTCACATTGTAATTTTACTTCCATATCCTTGTTAGCCACCCTGCTACTGCCCTAAAGCTCATTATCTTTATTAAAAACTGAGGCAAAGTATTCCTTTAGGTGTGGGGCCAAGCCTAGATTATCTAATCTCCACCCCATCCTCAGTGCTTAGCAGTCCCACTTCTTTCCTTGTTTTCTTTATTTATATGGCTAAATAACATTTTAATATTGGTTTTAATTTCCTTCGCAAGGTCCAACTCTGGTTGGATTGTGGCAGTTCTTCTTCCCTATACTTTCTGACCTCCGAGAGGTAGATTTCCTTGCTGATCCATCCCTTGCAGACTTTGTGCTTTCTTTTAATCACCTGTTTGAGATGCTTGTTCATTCAGTTTCACCTGCAACCTTTCCTTATAATTTTTCTCCTTGCTTAGGATCCAGGCTCCAGCTACTTGAAGTCAAAGCTGATTAAACTAATTCCAAGCCTCCTCCACATTCAGTGCCTTGAGTTCTTCAGTCCGGTCCACTTTCCTAACTCCCTTTTTATTTACCTTTCAAAATCAAGGTCCCTAGTTACAGACCTTTTTTTTTTAATTTATTCTTTCATTTAGTTTAAACTGAATTAACTTGTGATCACTTGAACCCTTATCCTCTACAACCAGTTACTCTATTTTTTTCACCAAATAGTCTCTGAACCAACAAGAGGTGATGCCATTTTAGATTTAGCATTGGTAAGTAGCAATCACATCCAGGAAAATCTGGGCCCACCTTTATCAGGTAGCATTTGTCCTCCAATCTATATCTGGGAAATTAAAGCCTTCCACAATTTGTCAAGCATATGTGATTTCATTTTTTGATTTGATTACAAGTTTGATTGATAAAGATAATGGCATGTAACTTTTGTAAGGTGTTTGACTTAGTACCACAAGACATTTTGATTAAAAAAATTATACAGTTAAATAAAACACATTATATGGGTTAAGAACAGGCTAACAGATCTCAGAAAGTAGTTGTCAATGATACTGTGGCAAAAAGGACTAATGAGATCTGTTCAACAGGAGTAGGGTGGGTGATTTTACCTATGTATACACAACTGAGACAAAGACTAGAATGTCTAGTTCTGGTGTCCATATTTTAAAAATACTGAAAAACTGGAGATGGTGCAGAAAGAATGCCACAAGTGATTCAAGGGCTGAAGAAAATGCATAACACAGTGAGAGACTTAAAGAGCTCAACCTGTTCACTTATCAGAAAGACAGAGAGATGACTTGATTATGGTGTAAAAGTAGATTCCTGAAAAAAAAATATGAGGTATTAAAGGGTTCTTCAACTTAGCAAAAAAAGGTATAAAAAAGAAGCATAAAGCTAGAGAGATTTTAAATCAGAAATAAGGCACAATTTTTTTTAAAAAAAGTGATGGTGATAAACCACTGAAACAAACTACAAAGGGATGTGGTAGACTCCCCTTCCTTTGGTGTTTTCAAACACTGGATGCCTTTTTGAAAGATATGCTTTAGTCAGAGTATTGGGCTCAATATACGAGCAGTTGAGTGAAATTTGATGGTCTGTCTGATATGTAGAAAACTAGATGATCTAATGGTCCCTCTGGCCTTAAAATCTCCAAGTTATGGGCCTCAGTTTTTGCATACTTAGACACCATGTATTTGGTTGTCAGGGGCAGTTCTGCCAAGCACTCCCAAGTTTACCTCAGCAAGCACTTACTAGTTAGAAGGAAATCTTACATTTCAATAACGTATTCTTAGCTGCGCTTTAACTGGGTCTGGTTGAATATTTATCAAAACTGTTTAATGGATGTTTTGTTCTTCCCTGACAAAAACATTTCTTGGGAATTGAGAGTTTTTGGGCTA